TGATTGAATTATTTAACAAATATTGTAACATTTACCGAAAATATTATTTCCCAAAAAAGATGTATAATACCAAACAATATCAATCACGAATAATTGAAATCTAATGAACGTAGATATCATTTATTCAAACATTATAGTTGTTATTTATAAAACGATAACTTCTTTTGCCGCAATGAATCTTCCGATAATTAATAAAACTTCAACGCAGTTTCTCTCTCTTTCTTTCTTTCTTTATTATCTTTTTCTCTTTTTTTATGGATCATGTTGAGATAGTCGGGCTTCAAATGTTGACTGGCTGACTGACTGGCCTTGTAGAGTTGTTCCACTTAACGAGATATTTTCATTATCTCGATGGATGATTTAAAAAAAAAAAACACATAAAAAAAAAAGATAATTTAAATCGAAACGAAGGAACTTAACGAAATATAGGAAAACTTTTCGAACGTTATTGTAATTATTTCTCACGTGAAATCCTGCCGGCAAACCTACAGAGACTTCAGAAAGGGGTTGGGTAGCTGCTACAATGTGTTCCAGTCCGATGATCACCGTCCGGTATATATTCTATACCATATCGTGTCTGGTCTTCTCATCCGAGAGTTTGAAAAACAACAAAAAAAAACCTGACACCGTACGATGCAAATCCGAGTAACCGTAATTCACAAATTTCATCCCTAGCCCCTCCCCCAAAACTTTTTTTTCAAAAATCGTAATCATATATTAGATCATTAAGTATGAAATGTCTTATTTTGAACTGAAAGTATTAGAAATGAATGATTTAATAATATACGGGGGGGTATGAATAAGTATACTGCATTTAAACAACAATTACCATTATCTGATATTAGGGTGTACTAAAAAATTCGTGCATTTTATTCTGTTGTTTCAAATAGTGCAATTTTGTTGTTGTTGTTTGTTTTTTAAGATCAATAAAATTATATACTTTTAATATATGCACACAAGTAAAGTAATTATTTAAAAAAACACAAGAAAACTTTTTTGTTTCACCTTAATAATAAAGATTATTTCAACGATGAAGATTATATTTTCTATATGATGAAAAAAGAATCTCATTTCGAAAAAAAAAATAGTAAAAACAATACAAATAACATAGATTGTTTTGCAGATCTTAAGAAAAATGTTGTTCAACGATAATGCGTAGACGAGTCTACTAAAAGTCGAGACATATGCGTGGGTCGTTTGACCGGTGTATATTTCAATGCACATTTCAATGCACATTTCCATAATCTGTAGGTTAATCTTTCGCAATATTAACGTAATATTTCGCGTAACAACGAGCTTCTTAATAAAGTATGCATTAAACACGAATATACGTATATATAAACGCAACACGCGAGTTAAATTAACAATCATTAACAATTATTATTATTATTATTATTCTTATAAAAACGTTCCAATAATCCACTTAATAGTTTCTTCGAATTTTCTCGCAAACGTAGATAAGTAGAAGAGGAATAAAAGGAAGATGACTTTTATAAGGCGGACGTTACGAAAGAAATTCTAGAGGATAATTATTTAGCAAAAGTGTTTTACAAGGTTTCTCTATCTCTCTCTCTCTCTCTCTCTCTCTTTCTATCTTGTTATTTTTGGTTTCCTTCTATCCGATGCACCTGTTGTTCTTCGTTAGACACTTCCGTCGAACAGGTGCACGTCCGCCGTTTAACCTACGTAACCGTTGACACACACACACACACAGTTTCTCGGACTCCCTCCCCCTCTTTTTTCAAGGGGTCCTTCCTCCACCTTTTTAATTTAGGGGAATTCATTTGTGTTTTAAATAGCTAATTCCACAACTACCAATCCCTATCACTACCACCACCACCATAATCATCATCATCATCATCATCATCATCATCATCATCCCTATTTCCCTTCCTCCCTGCTAACACTTGTATAATATTCTCTAGTTTATTGTTAACTTTGTGTTTGCCCACTCGTGGTCACACCGTTTCAAACAATTCTTTTCTCGGTTGGATAAACCCCGCCTGATTTACTCCCACCACGAATGAGAAAACGTGTGTATCGTCAGTTACTACTCCTACTTCTCGATACTTCTCAACACAATCCTCTTATTCTGTCCACTCCCAAGAGAGTGGAGTGTGTATACTCCTCATTGTGAAGAGGGAGAAAACTATCGTACGTAATGGCGGAGAAGGACAGAAATATTACGTGGTCTTATTTTATGCAGCTGTCCCATTTATGATACGGGATCAAGAAAAAGAAAGAAAGAGAGAGAGAGAGAGAGAGGAGGGGGGAAGTATCCTTGTACGATACAAGAATTAAGAATTAGGGATAATATGTTTTTTTAATATAATTGTTGTTCTTGATACTTTAATTGCTTCGTGTTAGTCCCTTAAGTTTTATAATTTGTGAAATTCTACTTATTTTTTAAAATGCAGTCGGTATATCACTTTGATCGTTTCTTTTTCTTATTGTTTTAACCCTTTAGCTTTTTTTTTCTTTTCATTCGTTTTCTTTTTTTAACTCATAAACTTACTTTCCCTTTGAAACGTTTGCGATGATTTCTCGTAAATGACTCTATTATAAAAAAATTTTCATTGATTTTATTATTATATTATGCGAGAAAGGGAGACAAAATAATAATTATATTTGTTGTAACGAAAATTTTCGTCTCATTTAACTGTATAAATTTGTTTTGCATAATATAAAGAAATAATAATAATAATAATATACGTTTGGGTAACTTGGTGAAAAGTATCGAAGGGTGTGAAACCGAGCGTAGATCATCGCGTAACCTAAAAACTAACAAAACGTTAGATAAATAAACGTGAAACGCGTGAGAAATATCGATCTTAATGTGTTCTCATATAAGTGCATGTGCATGTGCATGTGCATGTATCGTAACGGTGATCAATTAAAGCTATCGTAACTTATCGATTTGCGAATTAACTTACCGACAAACAATGGTAAACGTAAATTAATCTCTGTGAGAATAGAAGCCATTTCTGGTTATATCGTGCAGTTCAAAATATCGTATAACAAATGTCATTTTCTTTTTTTTCAGTTTCACACGGAGGACAGTAGCCCGGAAGTGGGATGCGGCGTGAGATGTAAAACCGAACAGGTTTGTACAAATTGTTTGTCAAATTTACAATCAAATAATTAAGACCCCACCCTCCCCCAAAAAAAAAAGAAAATAAAAGAAAAGATAATGTTTCCTATTTATCATAAATGATCAAAGTATTATTTCAAAATAAAAATGTATTCGATTTATTAAATACATTTCTTAAACAATTATTTCAAAATGTTTATGTGTGTGTGTGTGAGTCAAAGAATTAGATTGATAAAATGTACTAAAATCATTTGTTAAAACAAAATCAGAATAGAACACACCTTGACACCTTTTATTTCGTTTGACTCCAGACAAATGTCTACAATTTCGGGTAAGAAAAATCGAATAAAAAAATACCTAATATGAACGAACAACAGATTGAAGGCAAACATGAAGGGATTGATTGGTCCCTCGTTGAAATAGAAGTACTTCCGCTGCGTCGTACAACGTTGGTAATCACTGGAACCCCTTTCGGTAACCGTTATAGGGCTACTAAACGGGCAAATAAAAAGAAAGATGCGCTGACTTTATTTTTTTTCCCTTCTTCCTCTCGTTCGTTCATTTCTGATACGCTTACACAACGAGCATAAGTATATATGGGTAGAAATACGCGTGTGTGTGTGTGTATATGCTACACGCGTGAGAGAGAAAAAACAACACAGCACCATAACTAAATCGGATTGCGTTCCAATGTAACCTCCTATGGCGGATGCCGCCAAATTATCCTGCGGTTCTCTGACTGCCCTTCCGATTCTTTTTATTTTTTCTTTTTGTCTTCCCTTTTACTTTCTTCATATCCGTTTGGTCAGTCTCTTTCTCTCTCTCTCTCTATATATATAACGAAATATAATATAACGAAAGGATATGATAATATTAAATAATAAAGAATATATTATTATTTATTATTATAATATTGTATTAATAATAATAAAATTTATTAAATTAATATTATTTATTATTTAATATAATCATATCCTTTCGTTATATTTTTTATTCTGTCTATCCTACAAGTGTATATCAGAAATCCATCCAGCCACTATCCAAACCAATGAAATCAAAATAAATTCATTTTATCTCTCTCTCTCTTTACTTATTTCTATATATTTATTTTATATAAAAAGATTTCTCATAGTCACTCGAAACGTTTCATAATTTATTACCCACGTTTTATTCGATCTCGATCGATCATTGCGACCTAATTCTCAACTCGATTCAATTTTACACGGTTCCTTTACTTTTTCGAATTATGCTGAGGGCAATTGAAAGTTATACGGGCTAATCTGATCCATCCCGTTTCAACACTCCCATGAGAGAATTATATTTTTTTTTTTTTTTTTTTAATAAAGAAAATATCAATTATAAAAATAAACTATTCTACGATCTCTACAAATTTCATATTACATTTTTCAATAAAGAAATTTCTATATAATAATATACGCAACATGTATGAACATTGTATATACACGATGAGCATGTTGTATCTCTATCAAATAAATTTCTTATTCGTAATTATGAATGAAATCTTTGTGAATGAAATTCCACGCATTTAAATATACGTTAGATCGTAATGCGTACAAGTATGAGGGGTGGGCTGGGTGACAGAAAGGAAAGGAAAGGAAAGGAAAGTACAACAGGAAACCGGAAATAAAATCAACAACGCGTATCTCCATAGAGTTAAAATAATTGAAAATCCTCTTTCTCGGAGTAGAAAAATGAAAATTGGTGGTGTGGGGTGGAGTGGGATGTGGGTGTTGTGTATAGTACACAACTTAAAAATGACTTACGTTAAAAAAAGAAACTAGAATCGAGCGGATAGTCAAGCTCCCGTCCACGGGTTGTATGATTTACGATCTGTCGGGAGTCGAGAGAAGAGGCTTCACGACAGGGGAATAATATGTGTCGAGGATTTAATGAGGAAGTGAGAAATTAGTAGCTGTTGCGTCGAGCCAGCCGGTACGCGATAGTCCTCTTACCACGATCACTATACACACACACATATACAAAACAATTTTCATAAAATATATGTACCATTATGATCAAAAGAAAAAAAAGAAAAAAAAAAAAACATCTTGACTTTTTATTTTATTTTTTTTTTTATTATCTTTTTCTTTTTCACATATATGAAAGTAACATAAGTCACTTTTTCAAAAAAAAAAATTGAGTTAGTGGCAACACTAATTACAATTGAACGGTATCTTTTCATTTTTAAAAAAAAAAACAACAAAAAAAAAGTGACTTATGCTACTTTCAAAATAAACGGCTCGATTATATCATATTTATTATATTTTTCGTTCGGGACAAGAAAAGATTAGTCTAACAACAAGAAAAAAAAAAAATCAACGATTTTCTTTTTTTTTTGTTTTTTTCATTCTACGATAATGATAATATGGATGGAATCTTCGCATAAATATTTTTATATTACGTATTATATATCCTTTGAATACACTATATTTTTGTATGCGTTTATCTTTATGAACAAACGATCTTGAAATAATCTCTTTAAAAATCAACGCATGATACAACTACATCATTATATCTCATTTCAAGTAGTTCTATACAGTATTCCCCGTACTTTGACTTCGGGTCAGTGGTTTTATTAGTTCATATAGTATATTTGCAATATATCTATATACTAATTATATTGTACATATGTACTTTTGTATGAATCACATCAAGTTTGTTTCAAACGGCTGTCGATAGAGTACTTTCTTTCTCTTTCTTTCTTTCTTTCTTTTTTTCTTTCTCCTTTTTACAAGTAAAAGTACAAAGTGATTATTAATAATAACTATTATCTGACACTTGTGTATGGAAAGTTGCTTTTATTCTTCGTAGACGTTCTGACCTATACGAGATACCCTTTTCTGATTGACTATAAACATTTGCCGTGTAAGAGATGCATATATATTATATTAACATATGATTCAAAAATGAAATGCATTATCTTCTAAAAAAAAAAAGAAAGAAACATACAAAAAGAGAAAGTGAAAGAACCAAAAAAAAAATGCTCACTTATGTTAAAGGGGTTACATGGGTTTGGGACTTTCAAACAAAATTTTTTTTTTTTTTTATCTTTTTAAATTCTACAACTCATCTAGAATATTGTATTGAATTTTGAAGTCGATAGGAGTAGTAGATTTAAAGATAGAGCCTTGGGAAGTTCTACTCTTTAATGGCTCAAATCTTTAAACGCGTTTTTCTCAAAACGCTTTTTCTAAAGTCGGTTGTCAAGAGATTTCTCGAAAACTATTAAACCGATTTTGATGAAATTTGCTACACGTCTTCGTGATACTATTGACAAGGACTTGGACGAAGGATTTTCGTTTTTTTTTCATAAAATCGAATTTTAAGAAACCAAAATGTGGTGCAAATTGTAGCGATATTTGAATGTTCTTGCTAAAAACGTTGCCAAAAATCCAAATTTCAATTTTTTTCTTTTTCCTTCGTCCAATTTCTAGTTTTAAGTATTCACTAAAAGACTCTATTTTTTCAACAGAAAATCTCCCACCGTTTATAAGTTCTGCTGTCAACGCGAAAACACTTTTTTTCGGTGGGGTCACCGAAAATGACGTCGCAATGGCTGAGTTTAAAATATTTTTCAATCAAAATTTCAGAAAATGTTCTTTAAATATGTATCTTCAATACTATAAAAAGTTTGAATAAGAATTCCATTTTTTATATAGAAAAAAAAATTGTTGAAAATATACTATTCTTTCCCGGTGTAAATCCATGTAACCCCTTAAGATAGAATAAATAAAATTAAGGTCGAATAATTTCAATTTCCGACGATTCTCACGGTCTCGGTGTACGATTATTGAAATGAAAATGGTACGCGTGCGTAATATTAAATAAACCTTTTCCCACGATTAATATATTTTGTCGTTTTGTTTTTTTTTTGTTATTTATTTTCTTCTGTTACAGTGCACCAGAGGATGCGAGGCATGGCAACAGGCGCTCGAAACAAGTTGTCAAACCGTTTGCGTTAGTATGTTAGCTCAATTTTATCGAGATATAACGGGTAAAACAATGAAATTTAATTGAATCAGATTTGTTATTTTAATATAAAACTAATGAAATCTTAATATATCCTTTTTTTTTTGTTCTTTTATTGAATACAATTGTATATGTATAATCTTGGTTATTGCAGAATGGAACTCAAGAATTGTTACCACCGAAGCAATTGTATTGCGTTTTGGGTTGTCACGATGCAATGAATCGATACGCTCAACAATATAAAGGTAAATTCACGAATGATTATAATATTCATATTTCTATTATTTCCCTTTGTTTCTTTTAAATCTTCGATGCAAGTCTTCGATGCAAATATTCGATGCAAATCTTCGATGCAACGTTTATAAAAACAGACGATACTTAAATCTAAAGTCAAAAATTCGCAAATTCTTTAGCATAATGATCGACAACGTCTATCCTTAATGGTTCCTCGTCGTAAATACTGAAATTACTGGTATCACCGGGGGAATCGCATTTCGGTATAAACGACGGTTGTATTTTTTGATAATAAATCTGATTCCAATCGGTAGTACGAAACCATCTGTGCATTTTAATATCGACAGTACCATTTTTTAAATTTCCATATCTTTTAGTTAGATCAACCTGAAGCATATTCTTAACGATATCTCTGAGATCATCCCCAAAATGATGAGCATGCTTATATTTGCCAGTAACTATCTTTTCATAAATCTTCATCGGATCGTTAGCATAAAATGGCGGATATCCTGCATTCATTTCGTATATCAGTACACCGAAACTCCACCAATCAACGGCTTTACCATAACCTTTCGATAATACAACTTCTGGTGCAAGGTAATCAGGTGTACCACATAACGTCCAGGTTCTACCCTCGATCATCTTGCAAAAACTGAAATCTGTTACACGAATATAACCCGTATATTCGATCAATATATTTTCCGGTTTCAAATCACGATAAATCAAGCTACAATGATGAAGATATTCCAAAGCTAATGCAACTTGTGCAGCATAAAATCTTGACAATGATTCGTCGAATCTTCCCATACGTCTTAAATGAGTAAACATTTCGCCGCCGCTAATGTAAGGTAACACCATATAAAGATACGAATTATCTTTGAAGAAAAATTCCATAAAAACTATGAAAGGATATTTAATGCATTGCAATATTTTTTTTTCGTTGTAAGCGTGTTCGATTTGTTTTAACTTCACGACACGTGCCTTTTGTAATATCTTCATGGCATAGAAAACAGAAGTAGCTTTATGTTTAACCAATAGGACGCGTCCAAAAGCACCGGTACCGACAGTACGAATTTGCTCGAAATCATCGAGCTTACCATTCTGTTCCTGTTTTTCTTTCCACTTTTTTAAAAATACAACTTTCAATTCGTCCAATATAATATTGTATTCTTTCAATTTTTCCAAACGTTCTTGCTCTTCCATATCATTCCTCGAGGAAAACTTATATCTCCACCAAGTAACATTGAACATTGAACATTAATATAGGTAATTAGGAATTCGCGTATATGAATTTTGCGAAAGGAAAAAAATTATATCTTCCTTTATTTGACGCGTATAGTTGCTACGAAAGATTATTTATTAACGATCTGAAGATAAAACCATAAATAATATTTTTAACAAATGAAAGTTAATAATATCGATGGTGCATTGTCTAATGGCGACGACAAAAATAAACTGCAGTAACGAATAATAATGTGTGTTGCACAATAGTACTTAAATACAAGAGTACTCTTCTTCTTCTTCTTTTTCTTCTTCGTACTTGCTGCCTACACGAACGCAAACGGCTAATAATGGACGACCATTGGAGAAGTTGATTATTTCGTTTTATAACAACGCGCTTGATTAATTTTATCCGCTTGAAAGATTTGACTTGTTTTTCGAGAGAAAAAAATGAGAAAAAAATGAAAAAAAAATCTAGGAACGAAAGTGTGATCATCACGGATACGTACACGAGTGATGTTCTCTTGTTAATAATTAGCGAAGATAGGAGTACCTGCAGCACCCGCACTGGTGGCGGACTCTTTGACGGCGACCTCGTTGAGATTAGAATGGAAGGACGTTAATATAGATCGACGTATCAGTGGAATATCTTATCTGGTACAATGGAGGTACGAGGAATTGGTTGAGACTTGGCAATATTGTAGAAATCAAACATGGGGCGAGGACGATCAAATATTGGTGGAAAATTTACAACCTTATACAAAATACAGAGTAAGTTTTATATTTAATTATTCGAATTCGATAGAAAAGAAAATATAAGAAAATAAAACTGATTAAAAAGTTATTCTTCTTTAGCGTATCAAAACGAATATAACCTACATAACCTCAAAAATAATTTCAATTTTCCCGCGCATCGTAAATATCGACAACTTCGTGGTGTTGATTTTTCGGTCGCATTTAACTTCACTTTCCAAGACGCGCGCGCCAAAAGAAGTATAACTTTAATAAAAGAAGATAATAATCGATGAGAGAATCATTTAATAATAATCATTTGATTATACTTTGTCGAACAGTTTCGCGTTGCTATGATCTTAAAATGGACGCACAATCCAGAGCCAATAGTTTCTGCACCGAGTGTGGTGATATTAACATTAGCTGCTGGTTTGCCATCGTCACCACCGGTAATTGTAAGGGCAGCAGCAGTAGACAGCTGCCGTGTCTCTGTGTCTTGGGAACCAGGCCCTTTTCCAAATGGGCCACTTTTGTCTTATGTACTGCGTCTGCAAGGGGCTGATCACTCCCAGCTTAAGGTACACGCCACGCCAGAACTCGAAATCTAACCCCCCAACCGTTTTCAACCCATAATATCTTTCTCCTTAACTTTTATTCTTTTATTCTTTTTTTTTTTCTTTCTCTTATATCTTCTCTCGCAAATGTGCGTACGTAAAAGTATTGTCATTTTTAAAATTCAAAAAACCAATACATTTTTCATTTTTCACCACATACGGGTAGGTGTGCTATTTTATTTGCTGTGGAAAATCATCAGGAATCTTATTGCATGTCTATTCATAGAAATCGATTGTATTCATTTATTTGTTCGAGTTAAATTATTCAAAAAGGGGGAAAAAGATACGTCGCTCTCGCTCGAAGTATAGTTCATTTAATCGATCGACACAAATGGTTAAAATATTATGATAGAAATGTAACAATATATAAACTATTGCATTCTAATAACATTCACAAATATTGGCTTATCGAAATAACGAACACATCATATTACACTAATAATATATTTTTTCAATAATACACATTTTTCTGATCTATCGAATGAAAATTTCCTTACTACACATGTTTCTGGCATGGCGTTTTTTCCCCCCAAATCGCATCCGGGTAATTTTCTAACATAATTGGGCTGATAACGGGAATTTTTGCACGGTATATATATATATGAAATAATTGAATCATTTATATATCTTATCATATATCAACAGGACATACCAGCTTCAGAGAACACGGATCATTATATGTTTCAAAATCTCAAACCAAATAAAACTTATTCTGTAAGTGTTACGATGCGAAACAGTGTAGGGGAAGGGCCACCTGCAACGATTCATATATCAACCAACCCAGAACCTACAGGTACATATATTAATATACCTCTTGATTTGATCAAATTAAAAATAAAAGGGTTTTACAAAATTGTCGTTAAAAATTCAGTGAAGGACACGGAACAACCAATTCTCATACTCGGTGGTGAACACGTTGTGATGAAACAAGGTGCCGATATGTTAGACGAACCCAGCGTGGTTTATCGAACATCAAGTATCATTCGTGGAGTAGCCATTCATGTTGCCTCTGCTCAATTATTTGTCTCGGATTCTACTGGATGCGTGTACAGAACGTCTATCTTAGAACCATCAAAACGAATAATGATACTTAGCCCGAGCGAAGCTAATTTCAAGCCATTAAGTTTATCCGTAGATTGGTTAAATTTACAATTATATGTATTAGGAGAAGTGAAACATTCTACAACAGTTTGGCAAATAGCAAGATGTAATTTGGATGGTAAAGGTTTGACCGTTGCTATGGCTGGTTTCTTGACACGACCATCTCACATCGAAGTGGATCCTTATAATGGTTATCTTTTTTGGGTAACCAGAGGAGGATTGTATAGATTGGATTTAGCTGATATTAGTAACGGAGTTAAACACGAGGTAAAACGAACAATTAACACGCTTTTATTCAAATATTATTATAATTAAATATAAATATAATTGTGATGGTGAGAAAACTATAATGTTTATGCAATCGAATACACCGTACAGGTTCAGCCGTATCTAATTCTAGAGGATGCACACTTAGGAGCATTTACCGTAGATCATACGAATTTCCGACTACTAGTACCCCATCAAACGGAAAATACGGTAATGTCGGTATCGCTCGACGGACGGGAAGTATTAAACTTGCGTGCTAACACGCAGCAACCTAAATTCAAGAACGTACTCTCCTTGGCGATGGCTAATGGTCTATTTTATTGGACAAATGGGGAAGAGGTTTTAACCGAGGGCTATCATTCCGGAAAGAACAGATACTTTCATAATGCATATCCGGACAGGTGGAAAAAATTAAATATACTTTTTAAAAAGTAACTTGATTATTCAATAATTCCTATGCTAATGTGTTATTCTTCTTAGATCGGATGGTTCGTTTGTAAGCGTGAACGTTTTAATGGACGCCAGTCAACCCGTTCCAGTTCCAGTAAACCCGCCTACGGGTGTACAAGCGGTTTTAGGTGCTGAAAGGGCCAAAGTGTCTTGGCAAGTACCACATTTGTTGGGTGGCCAGGGTAAGGGTGCATGGCAAAATTGGTCGTACGAGTTGGAAATCAAAGACGAGTCTACCGGCGAGACAATTCGTCAAAATGAGATAGCCGGTTCATCGCACACAGTACACAATTTACGAGAAAAATCCAAATATTCTATTAAAGCAGCTGCTTACACAACTGCAGGCAGGGGTCCATGGTCAACCGAGTTCCGTGGGCGTACGTTGAGGTAAGATACTCAATCTGTAGATGTGCTTAAAATAAGAACGTTCAATTTTCGTAGATAAACATTATTTTGAAACAATTAGGAATGGGTCGCGTGCATCTATCCTATGGTCAGCGAACGAAGGTTTATTGAAAAGTGATGTGACTGGAGAAAACATAGATACTTTGATATACAAAACGAGTTTAAAAGAATCCGAAAATACTTATCACATATTAGATGTCAGTTGGTACAAAGATATGTTATATATCGTAGGGAATAATTCTGCTTTATATCAATATAACTTTACAACCCATGTAAAAACGAAATTAAACATTCATTCAGTTGGTAGCGTGGCTGTAGATTGGATATCAAAAAAATTATATTGGGCTAATCCCAAGCAACAAATTGTAAGGAACTTTTATTCAATTTATAAATAGAAAATAATATATAATTCCACGTAACACCAAATCATTAAATGATTATACATCATATTACAGATAACAAGAGCTAACTTGAATGGCACCCAACAAGAACCCATGTCAATTTTAGCGATCGTTAAAGAACTTATGATCGATTCTTTAGAAGCATACTTGTATTGGTCGACCGGTCACGCTGTAGAAGTAGCACGCTTAAACGGACAGGACAGAAGATATTATCACTCTGATGAGATATTCAATGGGAAGCAAGTGATGGGTTTAACTTTGGATACCGAGCATCGTTATTTATATTGGATAGTAAGAAGCTACGAAAGTGGATCTATAGTTTATCGCGCACCTACTTCTGAAAGAATACCAATGGATCAAAAGATCATACCGGAAAAAGTTAGTTTAATTAATAAATTAAACAATTAAAAAATCCAACAGAACAATACGATTGTTCGTTCATTGCTCACAAATGATTTTTATTTCATAGGTTTCAGCTTTGCAACACCCGAATATTCAAGGACCTCTGTGTTATTTTTCGGAACATTTATTGTGGCTGCAAGATGACAGAAACGCAGTGATCGGTGATTTATTCGGACAAAACACAGCTATTATTAACGGTATCACGTTGTCAGGTTTAAGAATGGTTGCTGTCATGGACCCAGCTCTTCACGGTTATCCAAATAATCTTACATCAGAAAGCGTTGTCGTTTTGCCAAATGCGGTTGATCTGGATAGTATCAGAGTCGAAGGTACTTCAGGAAAATTCAACGTATCTTGGGACCCAGTAGACAATATCAATTATGGAACGGTTTTTTACGAAGTTAAATTTGTTGATTACATCAATACCAATTCGAATCCCGAAATAACTAGCGAAACTTCCATGCCTTATAATAATTCGGAACGTATAGAACCGTATTCTTTATTGGAGGTAACTGTTAAAGCTTTTACGTATTGGGAAAGTGCACATCATTCTAGAAAAAAATTAAGATCACCGCAAAGCCTTCCATCCGAACCAACGAATCCTAGATTGTTTGTAGAAAACCATAAAGAACCGCTTAACGAAAAAATGGAAACTGCTGTCAAATTTAGGTAAAAATGATACACCACTATATGTATTTCATTTGATCTAAATATTTTGTTGTTTTTGAAATAAATATTCATTCATCATCTGTTATAGATGGAATAGGCCAAAATTTGAAAATGGAGTGATACTGGGTTACACCGTTCAATGTTGGTTCAACGAAATAGCAAATCATACTGATATACACGTTTGCGACGAATCTAACGTACCATCTGATAAATTGGAATACAAAGTTAATTATCTATCGCCTAACGTGACTTATTACTTTCAAGTACGTGCCAGAACGATTATTGGACCTGGCCCTTACACCGATGTAATTGGGGTATCAACTGCTAATGAAAATCCTGTACCACAATTGTTAGTCGCAACAACAGACTCCGTAAACATAATTGATTTGGATCACAGTACGAACAATCATACTATTACACGACAAGCAGCCGTTGAAATAGATTTCTTAGCTGCAGAAGATAATATATTTTGGATCAATAAAATGCAAGAATTAATATCGTACGATAGAAAGGGAAATCATGCAACTAAAATTTTGACACTTAACAATACTGCGTACAGTTTTTGCATAGATTGGATAGCGAAATATTTGTATTGGAGCGAAACGAATGAAAAGGAAAACGAAAGTCGTATCTTAAAATTGGATTTATCAATGTTGCAAAAAAATATTCTAACGTTCCATCCAATAGTGACTAGGAACGAACGTATCGTGAAATTAAATGTATTACCATCCGCGGGGTAAGAAGATTACATTTAATCTTCCTTCGATTAATATTACACGATATTAATATCATATAATATTTTATACATAAGAGATATATGCATAAATGTAATTTAAATTTGTTGTTTTTTTTTTAGATCTTTATATTGGATAGAATCAACGAAGAACGATCGTGGAGTAATAATGCAATCAGATCTCCATGGGGAAAATATTCAACCGTTTTTTAATCAAATGGGAGATTGCTCTTGTCCATATCAACCGTTAGTCTTGCCGATAATGACGATAGATAATACCGAAACAGAAAATCCGGTTCTCTATTGGATATCATCCGAAGGATATTTGTTTTATGCCGATATAGATGGATGCATCTGCGAAATGGTAATAGATCCAGGCTTGAATAGGGGAAGCTTACCATTTGCTTCCTTAACGGTTGACAAGATTAATATTTATTGGACGGATGATATCAATATGAAGCTTTATCTTGTTAACAAAAAATATCTATTGGAAGACAAAATAATTGATTTTAACATTCCCCATGTACGAAGTATCAAAGCTCTGGGTAAATCTTTGCAACCTTATCCAAGCCCAGAATGTTTGATGCCACGTCGAATGTTGTATAACGTTGAGGAAGTGAAAAAAACAGCTGATAGCATCACCGTTAAATTACCACAACCTCTTCCTCACAATGGTTGTAAAGCTTACAATTTACCAAGAACTTTATATATTATGGATGTTTATGAATGCGTTGAAAATAATTCGAAAGAATGTCGTGAAAGTTACGATAACATGGAAGGAAATAAACGATATGAAACTTATGAAAGAGAATATATAATAGAATATTTAAAACCATTTACGCGATATTTGATAAAATTAAGCTTAGCCAATACCTATATTGAATGGAATAAAACTAATTTGGAGTTTAGTTCGGGTATTATATTGACAACGGGTGCTGGTGCACCAAGTGCACCAGAAAACGTTTCTGCCAAAGTTCTTACGCCTACTTTGGCTGCCGTATATTGGATGCCACCAAAGATATTTAATTCACCTGCAGTGAGTTATGAGATTCATTGGAGATCGGATGGTCTGATAAATGGGGTTCGACAGAAGGGCGAACAATTGGTAAAGGATACAGAACGTATTAAAAATAATAAACTCATGGCAATGTTACAACCATTGCTACCAGGACAAGTGTATTTCATATCCGTCCGTGCTTACCCAGCACATTTTAATGAGGTTTTTAGCGAGAGCGAGAAACAAATGATAAGTATGTATCCTGAACCAAATAATCTAACGTTGATATCGGCAAGTATAAACGATTTAATCTTATCCTGGGTACCAACGATAAATCTAACGATTGGTTATATCTTGGAATACAAAGACGTTGCTCAGGAAGAATGGCGAATCGCAAATGAATCCGAAAGTGATCACGAAAAAGTCATTTATAAGTTGCAAAATCTGCAACCTCGTACTCTTTACAAATTTCGTTTGTTACTTCGATATCCAAATTATGATCAAGATTTTATATGGTCACCGGATGGAAAATCTACTTTTCAAACGCAAGGTAATAAATACTTTTAATTAATAAGTATCATGTTTAAAAAATTCGTATTATAAATAAGTCTGGGCTCTTCATTAATCGTTTTAACAACTTTTTAGGAGGCGTACCGAGTGCACCCGGAACACCAAATTTAATTATAGAACGCAAGTCGGTATATCAATTAAACTGGGACGCTGCACAAGCTCACGGTTCTCAAATTACATCGTACAGTTTGGAATTTGAAAGAATTAATGGCAGCCAACGAAATAAAACAGCAACGAACGAGAATAATACTTGGACTTTATGTTACAATGGAACAGATAATTACTGGACTATCAAGGAAGACATGAAACAAAGATACAGATTTCGTGTGAGAGCAAAAAATAGTTATGGATATGGTGCTTGGAGTTCAGATAGTGACGACATCGATTTGACCAATTCGGCAATAGGTGGATTGATAGAAACTGAGCAACCATTGGGATTAATTTTAGGTTTTACCATTCCGGTCATTGTATTCGGTCTAGCTTGTTTTTGCTATTTTCTATGCCGTAAGTTGATTTACAATTTATTATTGATACTAAACTTTCGATGAAGATTTATAAAAGAAGAAAAAAAAAAAACAAAACAAAAGAAAATGCTAAAATGCAATAATATTTCCTTGAATAGCGCACAGGCAACGTAAAGATGATAACAAAGCGGTTTTATCTCCCATTGTATCAGACGTCGAATTAGCAACGTTACGAGAAATACCTCGTAGTAATTTCGTTCAACCAAATGCACTTTATGCGTCTACTATGCAAAACGATCCGGATGATTCCATGCTGCCAAAAATAAAACGAGAACAAATAACGTTGGCTAAATTTTTAGGCAGTGGTGCATTCGGAGAGGTCAATAAGCCTAACAACACTAATATATATACACCTAATTTTCTAAATTTGTATAATCGAAATATCTATTTTTTATACTCATAGGTATTTCAAGGAAATGCCAAAGAATTGGATGGTCCTGGAACAGTAACACCCGTTGCCGTAAAAACACTTCGAAAAGGTGCCTCGGCACAAGAAAAGAGTGAATTTTTACAAGAAGCACGACTCATGAGTCATTTCCGACACAAACATGTATTGAGGCTCTTGGGTGTTTGTTTAGATATAGATCCGCCATTGTTAGTCTTAGAATTGATGGAAGCCAGTGATCTGTTGAGTTATTTAAGAGAAAGTAGAGCATTACAACCTACAGATCCCTATGCTTTACGTTTACAAGATCTCTTAGCAATGTGCGAGGACGTAGCTAGAGGTTGCCGATACCTCGAAGAACTTCACTTTGTACATAGAGATCTAGCTTGTAGAAATTGTTTGGTATCAACAAGAGATCGTGAAAATCGAGTTGTCAAAATTGGCGATTTTGGTCTAGCCAGAGACATTTACAAGAATGATTATTATCGAAAAGTAAGTAACGTAATTCTGATATATATATATATATATATTCGTGTATATATTTATTCGTGTATATATATTCGTATTATATATATTTATATTATATATTTTATTAATGCTTGGAAATATTTTATTTATATTATATTATATATATTTATATATATATACACGAATAAATCTCAAGATAAATATCGAGATGAAAAATGACGAATATTAAAATTATCTATAGAAAGGTGAAGGATTACTTCCCGTTCGTTGGATGGCTCCAGAATCCTTGATCGATGGAGTCTTTACATCTCAAAGCGACGTTTGGTCATTTGGAGTATTAATGTGGGAAATTACTTCGTTAGGGCAACAACCTTATCAAGCTAGAACAAATATAGAAGTGTTACATCTTGTAAGAGACGGTGGAAGATTACCACAACCATTAAATTGTCCATTGGCGTTACATCATTTGATGTTATGTTGTTGGGGTGCTGCTGATAGCAGACCAAGTTTCAAAACTTGTGTCGAACATATAATCAATCTTCGAAAAAATACACAAGATGCCGTATTAAGTCCGGTACACGCTGGTCATTACTTGGTACGAAAAGGTGAGTGAAATAATTATAAATGATACGTGCTTACAAATTGTGCTTAAACATCACGCGTCAACAATTGATCATATGTTATCATATTTTAATATATAAAGGGTCCCTTAAACTTAGATACAACCGAACTGCTAAAATTTCACATTCCACATCTGAAAATAAGATACAAATTTTCTGTAAAAATTCTTTACAGAGTTATAAATGAATATTGTATAACACATGAAATTAATTACTCGTGGTTTTTTGGTCATCTAAGTTTGGGTCACCCTGTATATATATATATTAGGTTGTTCCATAAGTTCTTTCCTTTTTTTTGATATTTGTTGTTTAAGGTTTGATTGACCGACTCGAAGTCATAGAGTGACGCGGAAAGAACTTATGGGGAACAATTTAATATATATATATACATAATATATATTTCATTGACTGTTTATATACTCGAAATTTCGCGGCTCGCCAAATAAATAACGTTTTTATCGATTTTTCATTACTATCGTTATTATTATTGCACGATCGTTATCAAATTAATTATTTTGCACGTTCGATGCTATAAAAATGTACTTTTACGTATAATACAGATCTTATCTATCGTTTCTCTAATTCATGTGTAATATACGCTTGGAAGCTTATTTTCTTTATATGCTCAAATTCTAACTTTCAATTCTAATAATTATTTGTCGTATGAGATACGCGATAGCATGACTTTTTTCTTTTTTTATTATCGAATTATTAACACGATTAATGCAATATCAAATTGATGACAAATAAGAGGATCGCAAGAAAATTCGAGATCTCTTTTTTTTCGTTCCTTCAACAACACCCCCCAAATTCTAACCCTCTTAACCCCTCAATGTGAAAGAAAATTATACATGAATTGTATTTAACGCGAAAATGCTTGGAAAATATACTGATCATCGCATGACTTGATGCTTGCAGGCGTATCTAACATGGCTTATTTCGCTGACGAGAATCAAAATTGCAATAATCCAGGTGGGTTTCAATACGTACAATTAAAACATGTCTATTTCATTATTTAATAAAAAGAAAAAAAGAAAAGAAAAAGAGAATTATGTTATATCGATTTAACACAAATTTTCTGCAATACATTATTTCATTTTGTCAATTAAAAAAAATGTATCGAAAAGATACAAAAACATTGTTTTGTATTCTGTCAAATCTATCATTTTGCTCTTGCACATAAATCGCGTTAACAGCTTATTTTGTATCATACAAATGTGTCTAATAATGAAGTTGCGTTAATTAAACTCGATATATATAATTTCTTGAATAATTTACAATTTAGCTGCCGTCACGATTCGAATCATGCTCTCATATTATAATTTTTTTATCTGACAAAAAATCGGTTAGAAAATTAATTGTTAAATTATACTTTTACTTAGGTAACTCCTGGAAGTCAAGCAGTTCGGAAGGAAGTAGAGATATGCAACCTTTCCTTCAAAACCCATCGAATATCACGCTTGAAACGCAATCAGACGGTGTGCCAAAATATTTAGAATTATTAGCGGATAATGACGAGGTTGTTTTAAGAGAAAATCGAGTTACCGAATACGAGGTTCCACGATCTATTCATATTTCTAATCCAAACTTAATAAATATAGATAAAATTTCTCAAAAAAGATTGGAAGTTAACAATTTAGTTGATTCCCGTGAACTCAAGGAATTCTTAAAAAATGGGATTAAGGATCGAAGATCATCGATAACGTCATCGGAACCTTGCAGGGAAACTATTTTTGAAACAAACATGACTGATAGATGTAAAACATTAGACACGTTCAAATTAAGAAACTCTAAAATCCGATCAAGTTTTACTGGAGATTCATCGATTAACGAACAATTAAAATTCAAACGATGTAACACGTTAAAACGAAGAAATTCGGAAATGAATTTGGAAAGAAATGATAAATCGTTAATTAATAATACGAAGACAAATCAATCACCGGCTTCTTCTACTAATCGTACGAATTTGATTACGAAAGATTCACAAAACGTTTCTTCGAGGAACAATGCCACGAGACAGGATGAAAGTGTAGATGTCAGTGATAATAATAGCATTAAAAACAATAATTTAACGAAATTACAAAGGACACCGTCCACCTTGCAAGGTGGTAAAGCTAATATTCCTTTAGTGATAAATAGTGCATTATTAAATTTATTAAGGCAAACGCCAATAATCGAGGATAGTAATAACAGTGTTAATTATACGAACATTAATACGGACACTGTTAAAGTTAACGGATCGTAAAACGGTTCTTTCTATATTGTATTTTGTAAATACGAATATATATATATATATATATATCAACTTTTATATTGAACACTTTATTAATGTGTACCTGCATCAAATTCGTACGAAATCGCTAACACCTTTGTACGTTTGAAACTTATATTCTTCGATTAAAATCGATTTATTGAAAAGGTGCAATTTCCCTTCGATTTTATTGCACATTATTTTCATCTTATATATTATTCGCGTTGTTAGTTTTAACAAATGAATAACGGATTAAATATATTTTTAATCCAAAAATTTCCAATCATAGTAATAAAATATATATATATATATAAATATACACGCGTCGCAATCAAATTTGTACAATAAATAAAATACGTATACATGTATTTACTATCATTTTATCAATTGTTGATAATTCATGTTATAAATAGGATATATGTATATTAAAATGAACATTTTTATTGCACTTTTATCGCGTTAATAGTTTCTTTATATCTGTTTAAAATGAAACATAGAGAAATAAAATGATTAAATATAAATCGCATAAATTATAAATATTGTATGTATGTGATTGACAGCGTAAAAAGAGTTGAAAAAAACAAAACTCTAGCCAGTACACTGCCATTTTTTCACCTTCCATGAGTGCCGCAAATACAAAATGTAAAATAAAAAGACTATGGTTTTATTTTATATAGAGACATGTATACATATCTTTTGTAAATACTAATCAAATTTAGATTAGGTAAAATAGAAATGGATACTCATTATATAAATTGTAGAATTTCATTCATATCCGTTCTTCATTTGCGAATGTTAAAAATACCATTAGGATTTTCTTTACAAAATCACATTTATCTAATTATAATTACTTATCTATAATATCCCATGAAATAAGATTTTAACTATTAGAATAATTCAATAAGATCGAATATCTAAAGTTTTCTGAGTCGAATGAATACTCAGGTTTTTTAACTTGAATATGATTCATTTCAAACATGCAACGGACACCATCATATATTATTATATAATAATTTGATATGTCGAAAATTATTATAATCATTATTATATTATTAATGTTAACCAATTATTCGATTATATATATAAACTTTTGCATATCTTACTTAATATATAAATTTGAAAAAATTACAAAATATAATAAAATTGTAAACGTGTTAATTGATCGACTAAACTCATTCGATTCAGAAATATTCATTTCCATTTTTCATACTCCAAGGCATTAATTAGTTTTAATTAATTGTTTCGTGTTTGTATATTCTACCATGAACTTGCAAAATAAATTTTGATAAAATTAATGAGATGCATCTTTTTTTTGAAAAAAAGGAAGTAAAACGAAAATAAAATTTCAACAATTTTGTACTACTCCCTGGTATCTGTAAATATATAAAAGTTATTAAAAAAAAACATTATAAGGTAATTAGTTTCTGTATATTAAATGGATAAAAAGGAACCAAGAAAAAAAAAGAGTAAAGGAATTTCGATATTAATTAGGGATTTAGAAGAAACTAATTACAATTATAATGTTTATGGTAAGCGGTCTTTGGCTGGATTTTACTTGCAATGGAATGTATATCATATAAAATATGATAAACATTATACTGAAAGTAAAACACCATTACCCAGGTCTAACCACAAGGAGGTAACCGCTTCTGAAGACCCACGAGGGATGTGCATCCTGAAGATGTCCACATCCGAATATAATTTAAAGCAAATAAGATAATTTAAACGAGATTAAAAAACAATGTGAGTTAACGAAAAATTTGATGTTTATATATGAGACCAGTAACGAAATCAAGTTTAAAAAATTCATCTCTCTAAAAACATAAAATATAAATATATTACAATTATTTTCTTTATTCTACAATATAAATAA